ATGATGCAGGTTAATGTTGACAATTGTAGAAAATAAGAAGTCTGGGGGCAACGAAGCAAATGGAGAGAGAGTGCAGCTCACACGGGAGAGCCCTGTGGCATGCTGACCAGCAGCGGGCTTTAGAGGCCAGGGCAGAAAAGTTCTTGGAGCCAGCAGCCCAGCGTACAGCTGCAGCAACAGAGGCAAACAGGCTCCTGGGCTCCTCCAAGGGCGGGACAGAGCAAGAAGTGACACCCTGAGTGCACACCGCAGGCTCTGTTCAGTGCTGCTTTCCCCATCTCAGGAGAGACCCGCTGCCCTGGCAGCACAGTGACCACACGGCACCCTGAAGGGGACCCGTTTTCTCCCCCGCTTCTGAGACGGACACAGGCGTGCAAGCTTACGGGTGCGCTGGTGCAAGCATGTGCAGGGTGCGGGACAGGTTTTCCAGCTGCCGCAGCATTGCTCCCCTCCGTGTCCTGTGCTCAGACCCTGTCCTGGCCCAGACATGGGCACTGGGTGCACTTAACACCGTCCCTTACAGGCACATCACCCCTACCCCGGTGTGGTGTGAGTGCCCAGGGAAGGCACCCAGCGTTGGGATCAGCCACGCACCTCGTCTGCGGGAGCTCACCCGAGCATCCCTCGAACACCCCAGGGCAATGTGGGGCACTCATGGCCCCTGCCCCACAGCACCATGCACATCTCACGACCGAGCGAGCAGAAGCGAACCGGCCAGCGCGGCTCCAAGCGAGCAGGGCACCACAGGTGATGCCAGGATGGGAACTCACCACTTGATGAAATGAACTCTCTTGTTTCCCTGCAGAACAACAAAACCGAAGGGAGTGAAGGCCAAAAACGCTGCGTTCCCTGACACATCCTGGAAGAAAATAGCAGTTTCTCAGCAAAACGTTGCAGAGCCGGAAAAGCTTATATGCTATTGGCGACCCTCAGCCCTAAAGGCGGTCGCGATGCAGAATCCTCCACACTGACTCTGCCAGTGGGATGCTCCTGGCAGGTTCACCCGGACCATGGCACCCTGCACACACAGCAAAACCCGCAGCCAAATAACAGGGCAGCTGGTCCAGCAGCACTAATGAGAAACCACAATACAGCTCCCAGCCCCAACAGTCCCGTCTGCTTACCAGTGAGGAATAAACAGTGAAGGCAATGCCCCACCAACCCTTTCACTAGTAATTAAACTAGAAAATTGTAAAAACCTGTTACACTTGACTCCCTCAGAGCCCTGCAGAGCCAGTGCAGCTGGGCGGCATCGAGACAGTTTAAAACCAATAATTAGTGTCATGTACGAGCAAGGCAGCAGTTTAACTTAATCATAACGTCTAGACTCCAGGGAAGTGATCATTAACTGCACTGGTGTGCATGAAAAAAAACAGAGATATGCTGAATTTTAAAAATATTATGAAACAGTTGTGGCCACTCCGTAATTGTTAGATTTGCCCTGACTTTTATTTGGCCAGCAGACATTCAGGTGGCTTTCAAAGGATGCTGAGCCGAAGGGAAGGTGCATGCCAGGCTCAGGATTTCTGGTGCACTGGGCAGGAAAAGCAGGAAAGGACTTTTACAGGGGCGGTTACAGAAGAGCAATATATGTCTGGTGTCTGCGATGTTTTCTCAGGGGAAAGCGTGGCATGGGGCAGATGCAGGGCAGCTCTGGTCACCGCTGGGACGCCCCATGCCCAGGATCTCCCCAGCTCAGGGGTACAACTCTCCTCCTCTGCTTCCAGTTGTGCCCTTCCCTGGCTTAATCGAGAGGTGAGACATCTTCTCTGCTGTTTGCTTTCCACCCCAGGATGCTGGAGCTCGGTTACTCTGCTGGCACAGTGCAGGGACAGCAAAGAGCCAGTGTTGTGATGAGATCTTCCGAATTTGAGCAGAGAACAAATTGGTTTTAAATCCAGATTAGATCAAAAATCCATCTTAATCTGTTAAGGGTGAATGGCCAAAAGCAGAGACCCCTGAATCTCAATCCAATGCCCTGCACAAGGCAAGATGTAAATCCCCAAACGCATCGTGTCTGAGAAGCAGCAGCCCTGTCTTGCAGAAGAAGGAAGATTTCTGTGCATCTTTGCAGAAAGCAGCCCATGGGTAATGCATCAGCCTGGCAGCAGCTCCTGCAGCTCAGGCCTGGGCTGCCCAAAGCGCTTTGGCTCTTTCCCGAATCAAGGAAAACCTTCAGGAAAGGGAGAAGCAGCATTTGGCAGAGGGACGTACCCTCCTGGCGGGTGCGAACCCTGCTCGCCCCTGCACACCACTGACACACCAATCCACTCAGGCCTGCCCTGGCTATGGCTGACGCTGCAGCCACAGGCAGCAAGTGGGGTAGGTCAGAGATTAACAGGGTGTCGGGCTGGAAGCTGCATGGTTTTGGAGCTGCGGCTTTGGGATGGGAGGAGTGGGGCCGAGCTCCCCCCGGTTGCAGTGGAGGGGGGAGCTGAGGAGCAGGGTCCCCCCAGGAAAGATGGGGGATGCTGGGGGTGAGGATGGGGAGCTGGGGGTGCAGAGGCTCGATAGGGGTTGGGGATGCTAAATGGGGCACAGCACCCTACAGGGAAATAAGAGCAAAGCACAGACCCCCCAGCACCGGCGCTGAGCTAGATGAGCCGAGCATCACTCCCAGGGCAGCATGGCCCAATCCAGCCGGCAACACAGGAGAGCTGAACTGGCACGGTGATTCAGCTTCGCCAGCCTGGCAACCTCTTCGGCGATCACAGACTGCCAGTAAACGGAACACCTCCCCACCCAGGCCAGGTGTATTTACTGCGATTGTGTATTTATGTGGCATAATCCAGTTAAAAGCCCCGGGGGACCACAGAGCAGGCACTGCCCTTAGAGTAAAATTCTCCGTCTGCTTTGCATCCTGCATCCATCTGCATGCGATGGGTTTATAAGGGACCAGAAAGAGCCAAATGCAATGACATCTACAGTCAATAAAAAGCATTTCAAACAGAAAACTGGATTACTGGCCAGGGAAGAGCAGAGCGATAGACTGTCTCTGGCAGATTAATGCTTGTTGGGTTCTCAGACGCATTACTGACCTTGTTACTGCCTCCAAATTACATGCTTTAGCGGAAGATGATCGGCCACTGTCTTTTATAGCTGTCTGCATGTGAAAACGCTTTCTTACGGCTTCCCTAAATAGCCTCTGGAAGGATTTCGGAGTACTCACCCTCCCCACTCCCCTCTGTGCACACATGCCCACTTGGGGCTGGTTTTTAAGGCTGGGGATGGCTGCTGGCTCCAGTACATCCCACGTACCACGGCTCCTCCAGCGCCAAAGCCCGGTGGCAGGTGACAAACGGCTGCACTTGGGACCAGTCAATGGTACCTCTGCAGCTTGTTACCGGCTGGAGCGAGAAATCCAATGCAAGGAATGGTGTTCAGAAAACTGTTTTACCTTGCAAGGGTGTGGGTCAACCCCATAGGTCTCCAGAGTCTGGGCTTTCCTGAGAAAATTCAGCTCTGAAGTAGCTGGTGGCTGCCCACTACAGGAGGGAAAAAACAGGAACAAAAAGAATATTCCATGGAAGACATGAACATGAAAGTCAGCCCTTGGTTACAGGGTTTCCATTAACGACAAGAGGCATCAGTCATGGCATATTCCCGTTACATTCGTCAGCACAGCCAATCTGCAGCAGGAGACCAGCACTGAAACTGAGCCTTTCTTCTCCTGCCAGTTTGATCTAGCAGGAGGTACACTGAACCAGCAGCACCAGGAAGGACCAAAATTAAGGAGCATCTGTGTAATTTAGGGTTGAATTTCCTATATGCAGTGTAGGCATTTCTTCCAGGGGAAAGAAAGGGGATTTTGCTGGGCAGAGGGCAGCAGCCCACATACCGTAAGGGCACGGCTCTGCTGGGTTTTTGGGAGGTTAAAACCACACCGTCCTGCCTGGGGACCGGCGCACGGCTGTCCGTTCAGGACGTGGCCCCAGAGGCATCGCCGGTGCCATGGGCGGACGGGGCTTTGCTGACCGTCTCTCACACCTCGTGTCCCCAGAGCGGGGTGAAGGCAGGAGGGGATCTATGGGGGCATAGGTCACTATCCCCATCCCACCAGGGAAGACCAGGGACCCCCCCAGGTTGTGCCAGCTGAGCCGACAGCCAGGAGCAGGAGAAACCCCTTGTTCCTCCCTAGGGCAGAAGGGATCGGGGCTGATTTTGCACCAGGACTGGACTGCTGCATTACCAGTGTATTTTTCTATTTGTCTACACTTTCTGTGGCTTGTCCTTGGCCACTCGATCACATTTTCCTTTCAGTGAGCAGAGGTTTGGGGGACACAGCAAGCTCCTCTTGCAGGGTGATTTGTTGTGATGCCTCTACGCCGCCAACCAACCTGCTTTCCTAAAGCCTGCTCTGCTCTGCATTTTTGCTATTACCAACACTGCCAAGAGTACCGCTGGCTCTCAACTAGATCTGACACACACGAGAAGTGAGTGCTCATCCCATGGCACGACTGAAAATCCCAAACAGGGATAAAAATCAGCCGAGCATCAGTAATCCCGATAGCAGCTGACGCTCCTGCTCAGCGAAGCCACCCGGCCATACCTCAGCTCTGACTTGTGGATCTCCGCAATTTTCCTCTCCAGCTTCTCCGAGTGTTTGGGGAAGAACTGGAACTTGGAGCTGTAGCCTTCCGGGTGCTTCCCGGGGTCGTAGTCCCCGATCTCGGCTGGTGGCAGACAGAACCGGTCAGCAACAGCAGAGTGCATCCCCAGCCTCAGTGGCAAAGCCGGCGGCAACCGGGTGCAGGGTCGGGGCTCAGAGAACCCGGGAACACCGCTCTGACCCGGCCATGCTTCCCATCGGGAGGGATGGTTCATAAGGTCATGTGTCCAATTAATGTCACCATTTGCTGGGGAATCACCTAGCAGCAGATGGTCACTGTCCCACATTTATTAATTCCTCAAGCTATTTGCCAAGAACCTCCTGTGAGCTGTGCTGGGTCTGCGCGACGGCAGCCCTGGGGCAGTCAGGGGCACCCCCGGCCCCCACCCTGATCCCAGCTGGGAACAAGGCAGCGAGCGAATTCTACTCGCCCAGTGGATGCAACTGCGCCTTGAAAAAATATAATTCGTTGGAAAACTGTAAAGTGACATTGAGAAAAGCTCCTTCACCTCTTTATCTACCCCAGGGAAGTGCTGCCGGCTACAGGTTGACCCAGCAGCACTGCCCTGCAGCGGAGCGGGGGGGCTGCCTGCGATGGGATTGATCCCCCACCTGGAGAACCTGCTTCAAGCCTGAGCAAGCTGCAAGCACAGCGACAGGAGGTCTGTCCTCAAGACAATCCCAGCGGACCGAACCCAAGCACTGAGACCAGGGTGCAGAAACACCCGAGACACCCCGATTTCTGAGCTCAGCCCTGCTCTCTCCTCAGTGTGGGCTGACGCAGCTCTGCTCCCTCTCCCAGCACCCTGTGGGAGCCGGCAGCGATCGCCGCTGGCATTTCACTGTAGCATGGCTCTGTAGCTGGTGTATCCTGCAGGGATTTACAGTAATCCGGCAGCCTCCTGCCACTGGGGATGAAAGGACCTTACTCTGATTTAATTCCCTCCAGCCTCAGGTCCTAAGCGAAATGGAGACGTTACATTAATTTTTATGTTTCCTGCTTAAAACACTAAAAGGGGGGAAACACACCGGCACTGCGAAATAACTCAAAAACGCTTTGGAGCTGAAATTTGTCTTTTTTGATTGCTGGGGCACATCCCCCCAGCTCATCCCAGGGACGTGACTGCAGGCACCGGGGGACTGCAGAGAGGGGGCCCGGCAAGGCGCCAAGCTGAGCACCCTTGGGTGGGGAAGCCCACTCGCACGCCCGGCATCGCAGTGCTAATGGCACGTCAACATGCTTTTCCACCACGCCAGCGCCACCCAGCTCTTCCAAACAGCCTGACAATCCTCGCTGAGTGTCTGGGTGTTGCACCACACCGAGCAGACGCCGGCCACCCCTGTGCTCTCAGTGCCACGGGCAGTGGAGCAAGAGCAGGCAGAGCCACGCCGGCAAGAAAACAGGCAGGAGGGCAGATCAGGCAGAAGGTCTTCAGTGGTTTTCCCACCTCCTGCTCCAAACCCCACCAGCGCCTCTGCAACTGGCTGACAAAGGCACTTTCATTGAATCATGGAATCATAGAATCATAGAATCATTAAGGTTGGAAAAGACCTCTAAGATCATCAAGTCCAACCATCAACCCAACACCACCATGCCCACTAAACCATGTCCCTAAGCGCCTCATCTACACGTCTTTTAAATACTGCCAGGGATGGTGACTCAACCACTTCCCTGGGCAGCCTGTTCCAATGTTTAACCACTCTTTCAGTAAAGAAATTTTTCCTCATGTCCAATCTAAACCTCCCCGGGCACAACTTGAGGCCATTTCCTCTCGTCCTATCGCTTGTTACTTGGGAGAAGAGACCAACACCCACCTCGCTACAACCTCCTTTCAGGGAGTTGTAGAGAGCGATGAGGTCTCCCCTCAGCCTCCTTTTCTCCAGGCTAAACAACCCCAGTTCCCTCAGCCGCTCCTCATACGACTTGTTCTCCAGACCCTTCACCAGCCTCCTTGCCCTTCTCTGGACACGCTCCAGCACCTCGACGTCCTTCTTATAGTGAGGGGCCCAAAACTGAACACAGTACTCGAGGTGCAGCCTCACCAGGGCTGAGTACAGAGGCACGATCACTTCCCTACTCCTGCTGGCCACACTAGTTCTGATACAGGCCAGGATGCCATTGGCCTTCTTGGCCGCCTGGGCACACTGCCGGCTCATGTTCAGCCGGCTGTCGACCAGCACCCCCAGGTCCTTTTCCGCCAGGCAGCTTTCCAGCCACTCTTCCCCAAGCCTGTAGCGCTGCATGGGGTTGTTGTGACCAAAGTGCAGGACCCGGCACTTGGCCTTGCTGAACCTCATACAGTTGGCCTCGGCCCATCGATTTCTTTGCCAAGGTGCTCGGCAGCAAGCAGTGAGCTTACCCAAGGCCATCTTCATCTGTCCTAGCAACCAGCAAAACTGCAGTTAGCTCTGGAGCCCTCTTTGCAACTGCAAACCACAGGCACTTGCCAGAGTTACCGCAGGCCGTGCACAGCCCCAGAAAAAGAAGTGCTTTGTCACAGGACTGCTTCTGCGTCTGGACAAGCACAGAACTAGGACACACAGGCTGGATAAGCCGAGGGGATGCTCATGGGGACGCCACTGCCCCCAATGCAGGTGGAATAGCTCAGGGAGCAGATGGCAGCGTGGTGCTTCCGCTGCGGGTGAGACCCCAACTTCAATCCTTATCCTCCTCTAGCCCAGCACTGCACGGCACAAGCACAGTCGAAGCATGAGCCCCGCACTGGCGGGGTGACATTTGTATTCTAGGTGCAGTGATCTGTTGTAAGTGAAATAATGTAACCAGTACTTAGCATGAAAAGCAAATTTATCTTGTCAAAAAGCATTACCTTGAAGGATATAGGCGGCCAACAAAGCAGCATCCGAAGTCTTGCAGAGGAGACGGCCGTGGTAGAGATCCCTTTTGATCTGCAGGAAGACTAAATACCTGAGGACAGAAGAGATAGTCCATTTATTAAGGAATGTTTAAATTACCTAAACAGGCAATTTACATGTGGAATATCTGCCACGAGACACTTGCACTAACATTTCTCTTGGAGCAGCCCATTTACAAGACATTATGCTCGCTAGGAGCGAACAAGTGCTAATTACTGGGCAGTTCCCCTGGTCAGGGCGGGTGCTGGGGCTCAGATCTACACATCCCAGCCCCGCTCCAGCCCGCAGGGACACAGTGCCTGCTCCGGGGCTGGCACCCAACCTCAAGGGCTGATGGAGGTCTCCACCAATGCTCCTCTGTCACCAGCCGGCTCCCCACCGGCATGACCACCTGCAGCAGGGCAGAGCTGCTGGCAGAGACAAAGAGCTTCCTCGGGCACAGAGATACTCGGGTGAGCATTCCCACGGGGAAAATGCACAAAGGAGGAAACTCATAGACAAGGAGGTGCTGGTCCCTTCTGCCTGCCAGCCCCTGGAGTCCGCTGAGATGCTTCACCCTGTTTTGGGCAGGGTGCCTGAACGCAATTGCAACTGCCCCAGCCCACCACAAGGTCAACGGGGGCTGAGGTGCCCAGGGATGATGGTCTGAAGGGGGTCTCGTGGTCCTGAGCCCACCAGTGGCTGTTGCACTTCCCAGTCCTGCATCCTTGCCCAGCTGCTCAGCCTCCACATAACATGATTTTCTCCTTCCCCAACTTTCTGTATCCTTCCAGGTCTCTGAGTACGCACCCACTTCCCTCTTCTGTGCTCACCAATGATCAACATTACATCATCTAGAGCGAGCTACCTCTTGCGCTTGCCCATCTCTATCTCCATGCACCAAAGCCCAGTGAAAAGATAAACTATGTTGGAAAATTACATATTTGAATAAATTTAAACCTAAGTAAGAGGTTGGGCTGAGTCATGTGGCAATGCATTTGGGAAAACTTTTTGATGGTAAAACATAAGTCATAGAACGAAGGAGCAAAATGGAAATTGGAGTGCTCAGAAATGTGTTTAAATAATCAGACTTGCACTCTGCAATATCTCAGTCATGCTTCATTTCTCAAATCCGTATTTATGATGAGATAAACCACTAATTTTCACAGATAAAACACATTAAAGAGAAATCCAGATATTAAAGTGTATTTGGTCCAGGGGAAAGTGGATTTTAAGTCCAGGTCTCAGCTACAGTTGCAGGCACACCTCGAACGGCAGCAAGCAGGGGCAGCCCACCCACACGAAGGGATTGTCCTGGTGCGTGGGGGACCCGTGGGGTACTGTGAGACCTGGACCCCAGACAGCCTGAGCCCGGCTGGGCTGCAGAGCGCCACACTCACATCAGCTGCAGGGCACAAAAGGGGCCGGAGGTGGCTGCAGTCCCGAAGCTGGGCTAATGCTTTATTCGTGGTGTGATAAGTGGTATATTGATTTGTTCACCAAACCTGATGAGACAATTGTGGTATAAGCTAAGGAAACTGGCTATGAGAGTTTGGACTTTACCCAAGGTAATGAAATATGATAACTCAGAATATTTATAAAGGAATTTACAAATTTTAGAGAAATGGGGGAAATGAAAGGGTTAAATCCCTGACAATCCCCGACTAAAACCTTGCTGTGATATTTCTCCAGCTTCACTTGCATAGTTTTAGTGATTTAGTAGAGACATGTAAATTCTTATCTGAC